TTATAACCGGTTCATCCGTCTTATAAATGTTGTAATTGTAACAATTAATACAATTATATAGTGTAAAATACATGTAAGACATCAGTGATAGCGCAACAAATTATTTTAATAGTTAGTTAATTTAATTAAGTTAGTTAATTTGATACAAGCACGTAAAGCATTATGATTTGGCTGCCACGAAGAACTATGAAGACAATTTGTTTATTTTTTCGGTTTCCATGAATCAGACAGCATATAATATAATAGGTAGGTATAAAGTAAAAGTAGTCAAATCTTGGGTAGGTTATGGGAACTTGACAGAATATTACTCGTGATAATGTTAAAGATGGAATGTCTGAAATGGATAGACTTTATTATCACACGTCCCTCACTCATATCCAGGTCCAAACATTCAAAACAAGAATTCCTCAAATATTACAGTTTTCAATAACATTTGTTAAGACAACGTTTAGTTATGTTAAAATTATTCTTTGTTTGTATATTAGGTATGTAGCTTTGCTATTAGGTATTAGACAAAACAGTCTTGGCTGTTTGAATAGTACCTATAAAGCATTTCTAAAGAATTCTCGATGCGTAAACCAGAACAACAACCGTTGATTCGAAATGCAAAAACGGCTTTTTAATTGCACTTCAGCACTTTGACGTCTACAGATGGTTGGCACACAATAAAAAATTCTTGTGCTATTCTTTACGTTATGTTATCTTCAGTAAGCCCTTCTTAGTCGGTGTAATTCGTTTAGAATTATGCTTTGCCATAAACTACACATACATCGTCGTATTAAGTGTAAACACTAAGTTTAGATTGTGTTTGTAAAATTAAACAAACAGTAGCAGTTATACAATATACGTGAAACTGTGTTTATTAACAGCTCATACAATACATCGTGTCGCGACAGTCAGTTTCCCTTTCACAGCTAGCTACCGTAATTTTTGGGTTCCGCGAGGTTATTATTAAACCTCAGTACTGTACCACATGTAACGCGAAGATTAGGTACTTACATGAATGTACTAAGGTGCTATTGTTAATAATATATGGATTTGGGGAGACCGCCACAGCGTTCCGTTGTCACGTCAGTTTAAAACAATTTTTTTTTTGTATTACCGTGAATAACGGTTTCTCATGCAGGCATAAAGTAAACATCTACCTTTAGGCCTGTTTGATAATAGCATGCCTTAATTTATCCTTATCACTTATTCTATCCTTATCACTATACGATCATAGGGATAGTATTTTCTTTAATTCGTCATAATTGCAATGTTAAACTGCAAAAGACTGCATCTAGCATTATCGTCAATTTTAAAAATTTAAATTTATATTTTATTAATGCTATTTACCTTATATTGAAGATGAAATAACTTTAGGTACTAAAGAATTTTCTCGGATAATTCGTATGCTTTGTACGGAACACTACATAAAGACAAAACGATATAATTATTTACACAAGTTAAACGAATAACTGACGAAGGTTTTCATATTTTTCCTTCGTGAAAGTTGAAAGTGGAATACTAATTCGGCAAGTCAATGACGTAGCTATTTAAATTGTATTTAGCACGAGATGAACACTTATTATGATAATAATGACACATTCCAACAACACAACATTGCGTGGCAAACGGTTTTTGCGCGTCTAATGACGCTTAACTGTATACAACGAATTATTTAACAATAGCTACAAATCATTAAACGTCAGAGACTGTGCTTTAACAGGAGTATATTGTTTCTAAATGGGATATGATATAGTGAGGTAACCCAAACGTGGGAAGGGGGAAGGAGAAGGAACTAATGAGGGTGGTCACATATGCTTGTTTGCCTTTTATATCATAGAAAACCCCCTGAACTTATTACTTAACTTTCTACCGTCGGACACAACAACGATTGGATATTATCCTTTTCTACATCACATTTATGAATAAACATGAACGTTGTGGTATTTTAATTTATTACATGTAAACTTTCTGTTGATACTTTCTTAAACACGGCGGGAGTTATCTTGTAGAAATTGGAGCATTACTTTGGGCATTAAATGACCTAGGTTTAACATCTTGCATAGAAAGTTTAATAAATAAGTTAGGAATTAAAAAAACCTGTTTCAATTGCTAACTTATTTATTGAACTTTTTACCCGACTACGCCAGAAGAAGGGTTTTGTTTTTCACGTATGTGTGTATGTATGTATATTTCTCTGACAAGCTCTGTAACTTAAAAGGCTTAACGGACTATGGCGTTTGAGGTGTCTTTAGATTCGTCTTAATTATGCGTGACACTGAGCATTAAAAAATTATAACAATTAAAATCGAAGGTTTGTGAATTTTAAATATAAATTTTCAGGCTCAGGTTTTTATAATAAATAGCTATTGAATTTATTATTTTATACAGGTACCTATACCTACTACCTGAAGAAACAGTGAACTTAATATTATAACTAGTTTTGTAATACATTACGAGTATGTGGCATAACAAGAAAATCTCAAACAAATAAAAGTTGAGCCGACTTCAAACAATACTAAAAACCTAGCAGCAATCGTGGTTGATTTGCTGTCATATTTTGTGGGGTTCCGTTGTGTCTGCAAGACATTTTCAGATCTAAATGAAATTTTAATGGGACCATTTCGGAATAAACCCCTTTCGAACATAATAAGGTTTTTGAGAATCCGTCTATATATGACGGAGTTATGCTCGAACATACTTTAAAAAAAAACATTCGAATTGATAACGTCCTCCTTTTTGAAGTCTGTTACAAATGCAAATAAAATCAGGTACATTATAAACTTTATCATAAAAAAATGATTCAACATTTAGTGAGCACATACGGACAACTCTTTAAACTAAGATTAACATTATTCAAACAAAATTCGTATGGTAACCTAACGTCACGGACACGTGAGCACAAATATTTTTTTCATTATATTTATTACAAATGAAATTTTACAAGTAGTAGTTTAGTGGTAAATTAAAACATTACACCATTCTTCTTAATTAAAAGAAAAATAATGAGTTGGTGTGCCTATTACTTGTAAAGTAAAATGGTTTATTATTATTTATTCCCTTTATTATATCAGTAATAATATTTCTGCGAATCGGGTAACAATGATATTAAAGAGAAACACCTATTAAAACTCTTACTATTAATATAATAATGAATAGAAAATATTAGTTGCGAATATATCTGTTAGTAAACATGATCTTCGTCTTTAAAAAAATTTGTTTACTGATAATAACAGTATAAGGGAACCCATGTAAGTTTTACTTCAATATAATATCTTTATATTATTCATTAATATTTAATCATTAATCTTAGGTGATTACTCCGTTTGACAAAATATGTGGTTTACTCGATATCCAATATCCGTTTCTCTTAACTAACAATAGTTAAGAAAAATAAATGAATGAATATAGAATGAATCTTAAGCGAGTACTAATATCACAGATTAGGCATGGGACAAAATCACGTGTCCACGATCCGGTCATCGCAGTGGTGGCACTCAGGCGTTGGCTCCTTGCGGATCAGACACAGCTGATCTCAGAGGCATCCTTTCCCGGTGATAACCTGCGTCAACCGGTATGAGAGGGTTCCGGGATGCCTCTAGAGCCAATCCTCCATAACGGGTCTTACCGACGCGATAACGGCGTGCCCAGCGCTCGGTCTTGGACCTGGCGGCCGTTGGGATTTCTCTAACGCTTCATAAGCATAGCGAGTTAACCAATGTAACTGGATGCAATGTATTTTTACACTGATTGTATTCAATTATGGAAATACATCGATTAAAGGTAAGAAAAGGCAAATCTCTTTATTTAGTGACTGTTGCAATTGTCGCAAGAGGAGATAGAGAAAAATGCCAAAAATATTTAAATTTGTAGTTTTATGGAGGAATGCGTGGAATAACGTTTTTCAGACGATGCTCAAGCGATTCACATTGTTATAGACATCATTGACACATGTGCATGCGATGGAAGTTTCTTTCTAGGATGACAAAAATAAATTCTGTCTATTTTCTATCTAAAGAAAATCTCCAAAAAATATAAATTGGTTTTCCCTAAGTATTGTGTCTCAAACTTATCAACGCAAACATCCCGAAGAATCGCGTCTAAAAGGCCAGATGGCCAAAGAAGCACTTCTCAATCTTTTTAATATTTAAGCAGTCGGTAAATGACTTTTTAAAAGTAAGATATACTTCGAGTATAACTTGTTGTATCTACTCTTTTTCGATTACTGACCAAATGGCTTAGTTGTGGTATTTAGTCAAGATACAATATTACAACGAAAATGCGAAATCTATGTGTCTATCCCCAAAACTTCAATGTTTTGATGTGAATATTGGCTTCTTCTAAAAGTATTAGTTTAAATAATTTAAAAAAAATCTTGTGTAACTAGACAAACTAAACAGTAGAAAATAATTTTCTATCCGTTTAAAAAGAAAAAACGTTTTATCGGTAAAATGCGTGGGGTACTAGATGTCAATTGTTATAAATATTTTATTGACATATATTAAACAAAAATCTAAAAAAGGTAAAAGCTATATTATTATATTGAAAATCACCCCACGTATTAAACATTAATGATGATTATTTTCTAAAAAAAGTAACAAGTAAGTCACATATGTTCCAGTACACGCCATATGGAAAAAGTAAATTAATCCTGTAGATCCTAATGAAGATAATCGGACAAATTTATTAAATTATTGTATTGTCGTCGTTCCTTGATAAGAGTGCGAAGTTTGAATTGTATCCGACCTTTCAAAGTGGGAGAAAATCACGTTTAAAGATTCCGTTACATAGATACATACATACCAATCTAATAAAGCGTGTTAAAACACATCTCACCTACCATTTGACGGTCAACTCAAGTACTGCGAGCGCTCATTGTTCAAATAAAATAGCCCACGCTTCCCTGACTTCCTGTTACAAACTTACGTTCTTTTCACGAAACCAGTCTAAAAAATTGCATTAAAGGGAAGAAACATTTTCCTCAAAATGTTACACATCAATAACTAATAATATACCTGCATATCATCATCGACAGTCGAGTCGAAGGTCTCCCGTAGCCTGGCCTCGCCTCGCACGTCCGCCTTCGCTGTCAACTGCTTCTCACGCAGGGAGGTGCGTCGGACCGACCTCACCCTGGACAACATAATATTCTCATTAACTACTCGTACAAGTCTTTCAAGTCTACAAGATTGGGCATATCTCAAAAAAATAAAAACATTTAAAGTACTGTAAACAACAACCACAATACATTAGTATTGCATCGAAAATTATAAAAATAAATCATCTATGTTCGACATGGATTACATATTGTTTGTAATTTTAAAATGTTGTATTTAATACAGTAGTTGAACGGCAATCTTAGATTTAGTAATTTTAAAGTTGCGACAAAAAGACGACATTATTTGCAAATTTTTGAATATATTACTTAACTGTTACATTTACACCATATTAAGCATTAATTTTCAGAAGCCATGTAGAAAGAATTTCAAAACGTATTTAATGTAACTGTGTTAACATAATGAATAATAAACAAATAACAAAATATGAAAAAATATTGAATAATAAACATTTTGAATAAGAAAAAATATTGAATAATAAACATTTTGAATAAGAAAAAATATTGAATAATAAACATTTGTCTATTATTCAATATTTAAGCAAATAATTGTTTTCTATTCCACCTTATGGCCCATACAAGTAAATGTATTACATCCTTCACGAAATTCGATATAATACCAAAGATTGTTTTATTACGGTATTATAACATGCATTACCTGCTAGTGCTAGCCGTGGATGAGGAACGACGCGCGGTCCGCAGGCGGTCGGCGGCGGCGTGCTTGCGCAACTCCTCCTGGTCGGCCGCCAGCCGCAGGATGCGCGCGCGCACCTCGCCCTCCTCGCAAATGTCTGGCGGACATATTATCATTTGTGTAGACTATTCCCTCACGGAAGAACTATACAATTACAAAGTGACTGATTTGCATTGCTGTATTGTATGTATTTGTAATAGGGTAGGGTTCAAACTCAATAAACTTATTTTCAGTAAATATAAATTACTATGGTTAAAATAGGCGATTAAGATAATCTTGACAGTATGGTATTTGTTGTTGTTGTCGAGTTTGTTATTAATTTCATTTGCAAAATCAAACATGGTAATAAATATGTAGATGTGACGGAAGTAGTGTGATGTCACAACTTATTATTTCCACCATTTTGACGTTTAACAAAAAGAAAATGATTTCACTGAATAGTTAATTACTGAGCGAAGCATGTGGAATATTAATGAAATAATTTTAATATAGTTCCAAAATTTACTCCCAAGTGATGCCAATATAAATTTAATTTACTAACTAGCCGATACTAGCGACTTCGTTCGCGTGCGAGTTTTAAAAGCGCTGCCTTAGAGGGTTCGATTTCCGAACCGAGCAAAATTTTAAAGGGTTTTTCTGAGAGGAAAAATAGCCTAAGTTACTCCTTATATAGACATCTACTTGGTAGTAAAATATTATTGAAATCGGTCCGGCCGTTTAGAAGATTACTCGGAACAAACAGACAGGCAGACAGACAAAGAAACTGGTTTTTAGGCATAAGTATCGTACCGTACCGTAAATAACCGTGTTTTGACATTAAAAACAGACACTTCGGTTTTATTTATTTGTATAGATTATCATGTACATACATGGGGGTAAAGCGTACAACATGTATTTTCACTAAAACTAATTGAATGCCGAAATGCAGACTACATTATTCGGTAGTGTATACTAGTAGTAACGTTGTTTTGTGAACATAATAAGAAGTATAGCAGAGTAGGTAATATAAATGTCTTATTGTTATATTCACTTTGCACTCTTATTGATGCAGACCTACAAGAAGTGGTGGAAGTGGCGTGTTTATTATAATAATAATAATAACTAGACATATCTCAAACACGGCCGTCCGATCCCAAACTAGGCTAAGCCTGTACCATGGTAACCAGACTCATATCCGTATATTTCTAAATACATATAAATTTATATATGCTATAGATAAACTACACCCAGACACAGAACAAATGATCGTACTCATCGTACAATTATTGTCCACTGTGGTGTGGAGAACTACTTCAGATGTTTCTTTTTCAAATTGATAGATTTATTTTAGATCAAAAAGAAGGGGAAGAAGAAGTTTAACAATATTAGACTAAAAAGTTGAGTTGGTACAATCAGCTATGCAATTTTATGAAAATTTATTTATTATTTAACTGTTAATGGCAAACTGAATTTTCACATCATCACATCACATCAACAGCCTTTAATAGTCCACTGCTGGACATAGGCCTCTCCTCGAAAGGAGATTTTGGCCTACTATGCCACGCTCACCAGACGGGTTGGTATAGGGTTTGTGTCAAGTTTTCCTTCTTTTTGCAGTGCTGGTGACCTGCGTTGTTTTGCACCCTTAGTCGGCTCTTACGACACTCACGGGATGAATTGGGGTCGTGACATTCCGTACACGGACCTTTTTAGATCCGATAGAACTGAATTTTAACAGACTACTATAATTATTATTTTAAAATTAAAAATACCTTTTACATATATTTTATTATAATCATAAAATATAAGTATCTAAAACATGTATATAGTTAACTCAGTTTTTTGCAATAAAAAGTAGTATTTATAACGAGGCGGTGAAGAACAATCACAATAATCTCACAATCATTCTTCCTTATGTAAATCATACAAATATTTTATATGTAAAATAGCATGATAGTAGGAAATCTCACAAAAACTGTAAGTGCCTTGAATATTTCGGAAAAAAAAAACGGATGCGTGCCATTGTATATTGAAATAATAGTTTAAGAAGAAAGAAACGAATATATATTATATCTGTAGCACGAATGTAAAATAAAGTATTGGGGAATCAAGCAACAAGAACTGATATTACAGTCCATGTCTTTTTATAGTGTATCTTCATAGCATCTTCAGATAGAGGGCACCAAATTAGAAATTTCGGTTGACGAACTGAAGGGAGTGGAAGGTTTCTATCCTCAAATGGAAATAAATAAAATAAGAATATAATATTTTACTTTGTTACCTGCTGGCCTCTCGTCATGCTTGTTCCTTACATTGAGATCAGCTCCATATTGTACTAATAACTCCAGCACCTCTAGCTGTAAGAAAATTAATTAGTAGAAAACATCTTTCAAAGATAGAACGAAACAATTTTAGGTACTAAATAATTTTAGAGTTTGATCTGAAACTTTAAGAATTGCTTATATTTTTATACAAATAAATACAGGTCGAAAAGTAGTAGTTAGGGTTCTTAAAGGGGCAGAAACGGGAAAAAGCATTGAACCTTAAAGAAAGGAAAAGGAAATTATTTTTTAATTTATTTTAGCTATGACAACTCTGTAATCAAAAATATTCATTGTCTTAAGGCCAAGGTAACATGCTTTTAATTAAATGTTTGTTCCTCAAACACGCCAGAACGGCAGAATAAAATTGGATCAATTTTTTTTCAGAGATAAATTATAGTCATTTTAATCTGGAATAGGTATTTATTTTTATGTGTGTATTTATATTTATGTGTCTATTTCAACTGAATGTTTTTTTAGCTTTTTTCGTGTAATTGGTTTAAAGCAACTAAAAATCTACAAAGTAATACCACAATACCCTCTCTATGTCATTCACATCTGACACACCACGACATCTAGTTTGAACCTAAGCAGAGCTTGTACTATGAAAGTTAGATTAACTGATTAAATAATAATTATAGTTGTAATACATACGTGTCCCCAACAAGCTGCCGCATGTACTGGTTGCCACATGTCATGGTCTACAACATCAGTCGAGGCGCGGTGTTCTAACAAATACTCCACCACTTTGATGTAGCCATTCGCTGATGCTATGTGTAACTGGAAAAAAAAGATTTATTTTAATTAAAAAAAACTTTTTAGTTTGAGATAGTGAAAATGATTTTGTTTTACTGAGATAGCTGGAACTATCAGTGAGATATGATTTAGTGCATTTGATAGCCTTATTAAACCTCTTAAGCCTCAGAAGCAGAATAGTTACCATAATTTAAACCCGAATGCCTTGTAAAAATTAGGTAATGAAACGATAGGTTAAAATAGATCATATAATCAAGCGTGCGAGATATTGAATTTGGTTTTATCTCCCTTGTCCGGTTTTATATCCCTTGAGATGTAAATATACGCGGTATCTTTCTTCATGAGAGATAATCAGCTCATTGATAGGCGTAAGCTGATAAAACTGTAAATTTTTATCTAATACTCAACGCTAAAACTTCGGAGAAGACTTCTACAGAAATTGTTAATGCGCTCAACTTGACAACTTTTCGACATTCGACAGGTGAATAAAACTAGAAGTAAATAATGATTGATTCTGTTTCTGTCACCAAATGAAGAGTCAAAAACGGAAACAGCGAGTTTCATAAGTATTAAAATAAAGTGACATCTTCATGGATGGATGAATGGATAAAAATAAACAAAAACGATATGTAAACCACCATATAAAATTCTTTGCAAAATAGTAACGTTTTTTAGATAGAAATAATAGCTATACCGAAACGATCGTTGCGCGAATAATGAAAAAAACGGAGATTTGTGACGATTAAGGAGATAAAGACCACAACCCTGAAAGTGCTCAACGCCGTACTAAAAAAGAAATATCAGAAGTGCTTCGAGGATCCAAAAAATTGCTGACACATTACATTCTATCTTAGGGGTATAGCTTTGAAGAAGCAATTGTCGCGAGAAATAATAAATCACCAAAGACAATAAATAATTTGTATCTAATCATATATATATATCATTAGTTACAAAATAATCTATCAGTAATATGTACTCACAAGTGTAGCTCCCTGATTGTCTCTAGGTTCATCCAAATCCATCCTCTCGTTAACTAACTCTGCGACATCTCTCAACATTTTCATTTCAGTCGACGCCCTAGTATCATCAATTAACCTTTGCGTAACACCTCTAGCTGCCATTTCACTTTCTATCGCATCCAAAGTTCTTTCTTCTTCGCATATATCGTAGGGCATATTACCGTCTCCATTGACGGCGAGTAAATTAGCTCCTCTTTGTATTAATATTCGAACTAAGTTAAGGTTTCCACAGGTAGCTGCGGCATGTAATGGTGTCCATTTCTCACTATCCTCAGCGTTAACGTTCGCCCCGTGGTCGAGAAGAAGTCGCATCATGGCTTCATTGTTGTCGATACAGCACTGGTGTAGCGCCGTAAGACCATCTTCGTTCGTAGCGTCTGGTGTGACGCCTCGGGATAGTAATCGCCGAACTGAAACAGGTATAACAAGTTTAGTTAAGGAGTGTATCTTATTATTGAGTATTATTTAGCTTACAGGAATTTGGATAGTGAAAGGAATAAAAATTGAGATATATAAACAAGGTAAATCTAACTTTTAAATTGCAATAAAATAAATCATTGCTTTTGGATACAAAAGGTCAGGTAAATGCATGACAACACTTTCAGAGCTCGACGAATTTTATACGCCAGAATTTTTGGTTTTACTTTTAAAAGAAAATGACATACGTAGCGTAAAAATGTTTAAGACTAATTTAAGAAGATAGAGTAGGCCATAGTCCACACTAGGGTCGGGACTACGGTCAACACGTTACCTCATGAAAATCAGTCAATTGACAAACCCTTATTTAATTTTTTCAAAGATATGTACGGTTTATAAGTCAATTCACAGAATGGGCACTTCTGGAGAGGTAGATTATTATATCGAATAGAATGGTACAGAGTGAATTCTCTTAGAGTATAATCATGTATGATCAAAGGAATCTCTATGAGCCATAAAAATATATTAACTTAATTCCAACATTTGTGTCAACCGTAAATTGCTTTGTTTTACGCCCAATGTAGAGAGCATTAAACTGTTAAACAAAAGCAAACGATGGGACACGCATTTATATTTTTATCGCAAAAATTAAATAAAAATCATCATTGTTTTCGGAAGTAAAAGAAAACTATATTTTTGGGAAATAAAATGTTTGTTGGTCTCGAGGTCAGCGTGCATTGATGTAAAGTGATTCAAAGGAAATTAAGTTACTCAGAGCTTAATTATTATATTTTATAAGTTATTTTTAGAAAAAGAAATGTTTATTTATATTTTATTTTGCCTGTTCGTTTGACCTTCTACGTCATAAAGAACAAGGTACACGAGACCAAGTGCCTTATTGACGTTTTTTTTTTTCTCAAGAGGACTTAAACTAAATTCTTATGGCTACGGTCTAAATATACCCGAGGGTCCGGTTCAGCGTTCTAAAACTATCCCTAAATCCACTTGCCCCATATATTAGTCAGAGGTAAAAACGTGGTCCTCTCCTACGATGACAAAGTATTAACTAAAAGCAATACCATCACGTGAGTACAATACGGTTTAGCCAAGTCAGGTAAAGGTAAATTTCAAAAGACATTTCGCTAAATAATTGCAACATAATTAACGTCGTAAAACCGACCTTAAAACCTTGATATACTTTCAATTACTACATTTCTTTTACTACATATTTAACACATAACATGTTTGTACAGAACAGGGAACCTCATTTCGCGAGATAGCCAGACACGTCAGAAAGTAATATTATTTTGTCAGAAACTGACATGACAGAGTATTGTCTGAAATGTAATGTAAGTGCCGTCACTTTGAAAGCTAAGATCAAGTAAATTTCCAGTTTTCAAAAATAAAACTAAAATACTTTGAAGGCTAAACGTTTTGGTTAAGGCACTGAATGCATTTCACCGTTTCTGTTTTTCAAATTGAGGAAACCCCAATCCCTAGACAATGTAAAAAAATAGGTTTTGCATTTCTATATCTTAATAAGCCTTACTACATAAATCGCTGTAGCAAATGAACCACTTTATTACACATTTAGTATTTGTAACATGAGACGGAAAACGTACAAGTGACTAACAAGTAAAATTACAAATTACAATACGTATTCATTAGGCTTCAGATGAAACCTGTTAAAGCATATAAATGGTTGTAAGCCAGCTGGCTAATGGGTACAGTGTCGAATTTATTGACTTACGCTTATAATACGGATAAGTAGCTGTTCTTGTAGGTAAAAAAATAGATGATCATTTCTGTATAGTAGCTAAATGTTACGTTAAATATAAACTTAACTTTTGTTTCTGTAAGAATGACGTCTTTGAAGGATATTGTAAAAGTGTCATAGATTTATTTTTCATGTCCGGTGAGTTTTAAGGATGCACATGCATCATGGTTTAAGTAACCTATACTATCTTTTTAGTGTGCCTTATCTTGGACCACATTTACACAGAGGTCTTAACTCTTTTAAGTAACTAAACTACTATAAATACAACCGAGAAATGCAGGTTATTTTATTACCCAAACAGTTGTGGCTGTATAGTTATATATAATATTATAATCGCATTACATAAGCTGGCGCTTGTTATAAACCTAGCAAGACTTTATTTCTGTATCGTAAAATTGCCTTTATCAACTCTGTTATAAAATTACGAAAACGTTTATAACTCTGGGAAGGCTCTATGTTTTCTGCCCGCAACTGAAGAAAAAAGAAAGGGAAAAAACATTGTTCAACTTATCAGCTGCTATGCAACAAGTAAAGGGTATGTTATCATAACTTAGGTATCGTAACCGGCACAGGTGCGGACCGCTGCTGACCTTGTTTATGAATCAAATGATTAGTCAGACCTGCGAAACCTTAGGTTCTACATTGAGACCAATCACTGTTAATGTTAATCGGTAGGGCGTGAGAAATCGTGCAACTACCATCGTCATGTTGTTAGTTAACTAGTCGAATAGGGAATATGCACGTGACACCAAAATGGACAAAATATTTTTATTTGTAATTGTTATTGCTAAAAGAAGATACCCATATAATTATTTTTGAAATTTATTATAATTTAATAGTGAAATTTAATCATCAAAAATTGGCTTTTTTAAGATTCCCTCGCAAATTTCTAAAACGCAACGCTATTGGTTGAATAAAACGTGACGTCAACCTACACTGTCAAGAGTGTCAACAAGTTGTGTGTATTTGTAATATTTGGTATCTGGTGATTATTTGTTTCATTTTAAGTTAATAACTAATACGTTTTCAGTGTTAAATTATTAAATTCCCGTGTAGAAAGACTCAACACAATGACCGAATATACTTTGTCAGGTGCAGTTTTGATATTATTTTGGCACAAAGGAACGGCACAATATTTATAATAAGTTTTTATTGGCTTTTCCATGGTAATAAGTTAATTTATATCACTCACTTTTTTAACTTTCACAAACTTTGTGAACTTCACTCCGTTGTTGACATCGAATTAGTCTGAAAGTGTAGTCTGACGTCACAAAAAAAGCGCGCCAAAATGGACGTGTTCAAATTGCCCCAAAACGATAGTGATAATAATAAATTTTTTTTTGCTTAACGGTTTATATTTCGGATGTGTTATATTTATTTTTGGTAATGTAATAACGAGTAGAATCGTTTAAAAAAATAAAAAAAATACATGCATATTCCCTATTGTGACTTAAGTAGTAAGTAATAAATTCAACAATTTGATTTATCATCATCATCATCAACCTATCGCAGTCCACTGCTGGACATAGGCCTCTCCCATTGCACGCCACGCCTATGGTAATTAAAATAATAATAATAATATTGTACCACATTCACACTACACCATCTAGTCCCAAACTCGCGTAAATCCCCTCGGATACCACCTGGCATGTCGGACTCGAACCGACTAAAACCGCACGCCGTCTAGGTACTAATAGCCGGGGAACCAGGTATACCCTAGAAAGGAAGTCCCTGGTGCCCCGACATACCTTAGAAACACCCTGACCAAATCAAACATTAAATGTTTATACACACAAATGTTTGACTTGAGCGGGAATCGAACCCGCGACCTTTGGAATAGCAGTTCGTTACACAAACCACTACGCCATCCGGTCGTAAATATATATAAAAAAGGAAACCGAAGGCCATAATGATAATTTATTGTCGCATTTTGACTTTTTCCACATTCCTACACAAGGTTTGTATCTCTGTAGTTACACTTTAATAGGTACCTCATAATTGTGATTAAATACACAATCTGAAACTTAATACTCCCTCAATGCTCATTACATTTAAAAAAAAAGAGACTACATTTGATTTAGGAAACTGTGACGGCAAACAGTGCATCTTTTAACATTTAAAAGGTGCACTGTTTGCAAATCAAATTGTAAAGCGTTCGATTAGGAGTAAAAATTTAATATTCAAAAAAATATACTAATTTATAAGTAGAGCGATTACTATTTAAGATGTCAAGTTACATCAATTTACAATTTATACAAACAATGCAATAAAAATCATGATTTATGTTCAACCTTCCTCCGATTTATTTATTTTATTTTAATACTTTATGCACAAGTGTTGGTTATACAACGGCGGACTTAATGCCACAGGCATTTTCTCTCAGTCTACTTTAGGGTGGTGCTGAAACGTGTAACTAGGTGCACTAGAGATTGATATGTAAATAAGAGAAAATTATTGAGAAGTTAGACGGAAACACTGAGATAAATACATACATATAAACGTACCAAATACATACACATACACATTAATACTTACCTATTTACATACATACTTAAATTAAAATTTTATATATTATTCAAATGTAGGTTTATACCTACATATGAAAAATATATATAACTTTAAGGTTGTTATGAGTCTGCTAGGGTGTCCAGAATGCGAGCTCAAGCCTCAAGCTGTCATCTTGAATGAGAGGCAGCTAGAAGCTATCCTAATTTCAAGTGGGAGAGCGTTCCAGAGGAGCACGTATTGGATTAGGAACGAGGAGTGGACACAAGCGTAAGTATTCTGCTATGCCCCATAGCAGGAGAGGATTGTTTGATGAACGGAGGGTTCTATCGTGGTTGGAACACAGATATATAGATAGACTTAGTTCAGGCTTGAAAGAGTTATTGATACCTTTAGACGTGAATGTCATTGAAATATAAAAATTTGCAATCCGTGACGTATAGTAGATAAACTAGATAAGCTTGTTTATATCTCTACAATATAACGGGAAAATACCTAATTGACTGTTACGTTGAAGACTATATATAAGGTGAAGAGGTCTTAGCGCGATTAATTAAAACCGCTGACCACCGGGATGAGTTAGCACTACGGACTCATACTAGGTGTTCTAGTTGTTAGGAACCCGTGGAAGACATTCATATAACTTGCTCAAGATATACAATTTGATGGCCAACTACCTAAATAATTAGCAACACAATCAGATAGTTACATATACAGCAGATTTTATCGTTTACATTTTTAGATATATTATCAGTTATCATAAACACTTAAACTAGCTTCAATATTCACCTAAGTTATTTTTGTGGAACGCTTATTTAGATTTCTTACACTCAGGTTATAAATCGTACATTCATAGCCACATTATAACACTATTATAAAACCGGCAATGATATAAGCTAGATATTTAAATTAGTTTGGTATGAATAAATTTGCCAAGATTGAATAATTTTATCGTAACCTGATAACGATTATCTCACTATGAAAGCCATTGGTTTATAGTGACTAGTATTATCTTAAAGTGATCTAATGGCTTATCTGAGTGTTGTTTAGTATAAAACTATAATTTAATACTATACACTACTGTATACGTGACGGATTAAGAACACAGAGTGTCACCATCTATTCATACCGTGATTGGCGTAAGAGTCGACTTAGGAAGCAAACTACGCAGGACAACAGCACTGCGAAGAGAAGGGAAACTTGAAACAAACCCTATACCAACCCGTCTGGCCAGCGTGTTATAGTAGGGCAAAGCGTTCTTTCTGAGGAGAGGTCTGTGTCCAGCAGTGGACTATTAAAGGCTGTTGATGATTAATCCTTTACCTTCATCTATATCGTTTCTAGCTGCTGCTTCCAGCAACATAACGCTATCACTAAAGTATATGCTCCGCTTGTTGCTCTTCTCCCTTTTCGCCCTTGATCTCGCCCATTCTTTCTCGCGTTGCTGCCATAGTTTCAGCTGTTGCATGCGACGTCTGAAAATAATAAACATTTTAGAGCTATTTGGACTGTGTTTATGGCATATTATCCAGATTATGGCAGGCGTGACAGACATGATTAAGAATACAGTGTCACCACCCCTATTCATCCGGTGGGTGTCATAAGAGCTAGCTAAGGGAGCAAACTACGCGGGTTAACAGCACTACAAAGGGAAGGAAAACTTGAAACAAAACTAACAATAAGTAGCAAACTATTTCTAAGCAAGTACTCATGAAAATAAATAAGTTTACCAAAACAACGAATCACGAGCTGCAATTAGCAGTCTTATAACATAAGTAGCACATTTGGGATCAGTTAAAGTTTTATTGTCTTTTTCTTCATAATCAGTTACAAGACAAAGCGAATTTATGCGGCGGGTTTCAGCATTGAATGGGATTTTTTTTGAGGGGCAAACGAGCTGACTTCAAGATGAAGCGCCTGATGTTAGAGCCTAATGCCGCCCATTGAGACACTTGAAATTAAAGAGACACAAGTGTGTTGACTCAATTTGAGTGCTCTCAAATAAGGATGGGTGAGAGGCATTTGGTTGCGCCTCCTGTGAACTCAGTTACTCAGTGAAAAGCATATAATTTAATTTTTTAGGATATTTTCACAGAATTTATATTAATATCCTACTATATGATAATTTTAATCCTGGATTGTAATATCTAGCGTTGTAAGCTTATTTAATGGCATCAAAAAACAGAAACTATCTAGCATCAAAATAATTCTTAGGTTGAGGTGTTAAAATGTAATCGTAGTCAAAAAACTGGCAAAACAAAACGATCACGTGAATTTACATAAATCAGTTTTACTTTGTAAGTCAATGAGTATTCAAATGATAATAATAAACTTCAACTCAGAGCGATTTTACATTAAAAACTTAGAAAAACTCATTTGTTATTGTAATACATCGTAATACTTAAATTTTATCTCACTTATCACAAAGAATATATCAGTACATTATTGATTTTAAACGAAAACATAAAATTCGTTAGACCATAACACACGTTATGAACACACATATAAAGACACTGCACAATAACATACACAGAAGATAAGAGAAAAAGTAATAACGTTATGAAACGCATCATGTCGGTCTAGAAAGAAGAATTTTCGATGTTCACTTGTTGCAAATTGACACCTTTATGGACATATTTCTAGCAAATTGACACTATAATTGCTTGAACATAGGCGTTAAATGAATATACACATTTAACAGTCCAGATATAAACAGCAGTCTTCTTTGTATATTTGTGTAAGTCATTAAAAATACTGGTTTCGTGGTTGTAACGTTACGTATTTCTCCATATGATAGTTTTTTTTAAATGACATCTCATACACTAGGAATACATCCTGTGTAGTAGGGGACTTAACAAACAAACATTCGTGAAACGGAAACAAAGAACACCCAGACTCAGAACAACAATTTGTGGATCACACAAAGTGTCCCATGTGGGGTTCGAACCTACAACACTAAGCGTAGAAGAAAGCGGTAAGGTGAACGCTTAAAATACTACGCCATCCGTGCAGTCGATACAGACAGTGCAATATTCTATAATACACATACATTTTTGGTGATAATTGGGTTGACTTGACACCTAACACAATACTATGTTATATTTTCGACTTGTTTTGTGTTGTACCGTTAATCCTGCATTGAGGCATTTAACAGTAAACAGTCATGCAACCACAAAAAGTGAAAACGATGTTTTACTTTACGTATAGAAGTAGATTATAATATGTTTCATAATATTGTACAGAATTGGCAGTGTACTTCCTGAGTTTTAAAGAACCAGTTGGTAATTTAAAAACTTCATCCGTTTCCTTATGTCTTGACAATTGTTACTTTACTTTCTGACATACTTACGACAGAAAACTTTCTAGCTTTAGCCCCACAAGTATTAAAATATAGGCTGGAACAGATGGATATTGGATATGGATGGTTTCAGAATTTGCAATGAGACAACTAAAACCGGAGTAAACGGTTTTTGTATAAGCGCCATACAACTAAGCGTGAAACAGAAGCGAGACGCAGTCGATTTGACAAGTTTGCAATGAGTGTTTCCTACATGGTTGATTTACAAACAAATTATTATTTCAGTCCTAATACTAAACGATCCAAAAGGACATGTTGAATCGTTTAGTATTAGGAATGAAATGATTCGAATAATATATATTTTATACGACATCTAAATATTTCAAGTTTAATATTTAAAATATGTCAGTCAGACGTAATTCTCTTGCTTGATCTGTAGGCAGAGGCCTGTGTCCAGCAGTGGACTATTAAAGGCTGTTGATGTGATGTGATGCGAAGGCGAATTCATTCATGCAGATTATAGGTAAGCTTTGGGATTTTTTTTGGGCAATTAAAATGCAATTTGTAGAAAACTATTGAACTATCTAATCTATTCTAATATATCCTTATACATTTAACGCAATGTTACTACATATTTATGCCTTTTGAAGTGGGCAGCATATTTATGTATATTAATCGACATTATAGATTCTATGTCTCAACTCCTACATTAATAAAGAGACCCATCTTGGAGTGGCGATGTTTTAAATGGTCATGGTTTACAAATCTTAAAAATACTTGACCTCAGACTACTGACCGATATTTATATGTCGATTCGCTCCAGATTGCAGTCTAAAGAAACAAAAAGCGAAAACGCTCTTACTAGAGTTTGCTCATTTTAATATGATTTCTTTTTGTATTGTATGAATTATCATATGATATCATGCATAATAGTTGTAGAAGATATTATACAGACATTATTTTAACATATTTTTACGCAACGTTAGATCTAGTTCTTTGCTTATAGCAAGGAGGGAGTAGGAGTACTTGACAGGTATATTAAAAAAATTGACTCATTTTCTATACTAGAAATTATGTAAATTCTACGATTGTCAATACCGCTAATCTGAAATACGTACGATGTTTGTTTTTTCATATTTTATGTATGTTTCTTTCATCCGATCATCATTAATTCGGTGTTTCATCTTAATGATATGTAAGGGGCACAATAGGTTTTTTGGTTATTCGGCTAACTTTTGTTCTTAAGCATTAATAACATTATTTATAATAACTATGTTACATAATATGTTATTACGGCTTAAATAAGACATTTGTAGATATACCTACTGGCGATCAATATTTTTGTTTTAAGTTTTAAATTTATTTAAAACTGCTTTTGCTTGTCCTTATAAATGGTCAACAACTTTCGGTAAAGATTAAAGGTCATAAGCCAAATATTCAGTCAAGAAGATTAAATGATAGTAGGGTCCAAAACTTGCAATCAAATACTAAAACACTATGAAAGATGTTTGTCAGTGGCCGGGTACAGCAAGGTCATCTGACTACAGTTTATGAAGATGGAGGCGGTAAGTTACGAAAGAAAGGTTGACGTCAACTTAATTTACAAAGCAATGGCATTATCAGCCAATGGATTAAAACAGTATTTTGTATGCCTAAAGCACGACAACGGTAGCGTGTAAACATAGCCTGATACATGTTTTTACTATTGCAAACGAGTATTAAGCTGTCTGACGTGTTCAGTTGACAAAGGCTTAAGTTATCTGCAACAAGCCAAACAGAACCGTGTACATAAGATATATATCATGTTAATAAGGAATATATAAAGTATTTACAAGGGACGACATAACCAGCAGTGGTATGGGAACCAGACAAAGTTTATTATCTTTGAAGCCGCTGAAATCTAATTTTAGTTAGAGGTTTTTATCTAACGCAGGGATTGGAAGTGGATTTCGGGGCAATAAAATTTGAAAAAGGTTCACAAAAACTCGTTTACCCGTCAAAATCAGCAGAATATAGAGCAATAATAAATTTTCTACATTAATAGTTGGATATCCTCTGTTCCATTCTTAAAATCAGTAAAAAGTACCAGATAAACTATTTTGTGTTCAAATATGATGTTGCAATTTCGGAGCTAAGACATGTTGATTGGAACGAGAAGTTTCAGCTGTGTAAATGCAAAAGAATGGTATTATTGTATAATAATATCTTGAGAAGGTTAATAGAATGATGGTTCTATTAGTCCTAATGGTTCTAGGCAATATAATTCTACAGATAAACATTAATAAATATTATTACCTGTTGTGATTTATTTCTTCGTTAATTAAGGTTAAAAGAAAAAAAAAATTAAACAAAAATACAATATAATAACAAAAATCCGGCCAAGTACGAGTCGGACTCGTCCACCGAGAGTTCCTTACAAATTTGTCGGTACATATTATGAACATGACATATTATGAATAGGTCATGAATCGAGTATTGCAATTTTTTTTCCAAACTTTACCCGAAATTCATTTTCCAAAACCTATAATTACTTGCATTTTGTATCGATGATTAATTACTTACTTACTATATTTTTTATGATTTAATTATTATACAAATGTAGTTTTGGTAAACAAGGTGATCTTATAAGGGTATCGTTTTTTCCTTTTGAGGTACGGAACCCTAAAAATCACAGCAAAAACTATACCGTACCTGTCACTCATCGTAAAAACACAATGCAGAATTCAACGTTGTAAAGATTCTTAAAGCATTTCAGCTATTCATGGAAAAAAACGTGTTAATAATCAGTTCCATGCCGGGGAAGATTAATTTGCTTGTGAATTTTCTTTTTCATGATTTAAAAATGACTTGTTTTTCAACGTTCTTACTCTTAATTCACCTCTTTAACGAACGTGTATTATATTAATATTACAGAAAGCTAAGTAGACGCTAACATTTAAAAAAAAATCCTTAAAGCATTAGAGTAGTACTTAGAGTGTCTAAACTTTTTAATGATACACACAAAAGATTGGTTTAACTGATTATATATTAAAATATGCTTTTCTGATGAATTGATAAAACAAGATTCTTCATTTGTATTAAAAGCTGATCCTAACAAAGCTAAAGATTATCGTCCCATAGCGTGTCATGTTTCTCGGCAGTTGGTCAATAAATAAGGATACGAGGGCTGCTATTTAT